TTGATTGAACAGATCGGCCGCTAGGGGTTCATATATTTGGGAGCTCTTTTATGACCACCCTGTATGCATACACAAACACTCATATCTATTATATATATAATATATATATAATATACTGATTTCCAAATGTTAAGCAACAAACGGAAAACTGATGATAACTCAAGGAATGTGCAAAACGTGCAAGCAAACTGATAGAAATTTGGTGGTAATATCATACACAAACACTCACATATATATATATATATACTGATTTCCAAATGTTAAGCAACAAACGGAAACCTGATGATAACTCAAAGAATGTGCAAAATGTGCAAGCAAACTGATAGAAATTTGGTGGTAATATTTATTACAACACTTGCAACTTAAATACACAAACATACAGAATATTTACATTTTCTGATATCAACAGGAACATAAAATCTTCTAAATTCCGGCGCAAAAATTAAATACCAAAAAAATTCCAATACTGCGTATGATCACCCTGAATAGCAATAGGAATGACAGCGATGAGTTACGTTTTCTATGATGTTGTTAATAAATTTCATGAATAGCAATGCCACTGATCAGGTAAAGAAGTTCTAAGCCCATCTGTGGTTTGAGGAGGTTTGGAGTCCAGCACCATGCCTCGATTAAGGTCTCAGAAGCGTGCTGACCATTCCATTTGGACTACAATTTCTTCTTCAAGAAACTGGTGCATGAGGCAGCCATTATCTGCTTGCAAAATGTGAAGGTATCACCAACTGCGGCAACATAGAGACAAATAAAATAGGATCCAGTGTATCTCTATACTTCTGAGCACTAAAATTCCATGTTGGCAGCACATACAGGTCTATGCACCCACCTGACAATACTCTTTCTATCAAGAACGCTACCCCCAGCATAGTTATCCCTTTCTCGTTAGACTAAAGACATCGAATGTATGTTCACACATGGTCCAGAATCACTCTGTAAAGCAAAGTGGGACTCATCAATGAGCAGAACAGACCTTCACTGATTTTCATTCCAGTTGACATGACTAGGTGCCCAATACAAACGCTTCTTCCGTTAGCGGAAGGTAAGCGAGACGCTTGGTTCGACCGCCGCATCCGCGACCATGAGCGCAAACACGCATGCGCCATTCGGACCAAATTATTCTCAAAATAGGGTGGAAGGATGGAGTCTTTCTTTACCTCCAGCATAGCTCTTTCCGGAGAAGAGAAGACCTTCCACGTCGCAGCAAGTAATACCGCCCCTTTTGACGAGGTCTGTGTGTTTTGACAGAATGCCAACCAGGGTTGCGCTTGAGACGGGCGAACTATGAGCATACAAACCTCTTTCATGGAGCCCTCTGCGTACTGCCGAGGCTGATACTCTCTTTCCTGTAGCACAAATAAGGGCGTATTTAAGCTGAAATGAAGTTGCAGTCTTGCTGAGACGAGCGTTAAGTCGAAAATACTGGTCATTTTCATAAGTGGTAACGCTTGGCCTATAAGGTATTTCTCATGCCTTCTTAGCATGCCTTCGTAGTGTAGTAGTCAGCACGCTCGACGTCTATTTGAAAGGTCCGTAGTTCGAGTCCCGGCGAGGGCATTCCTTATTTTTCATCTCTCCAGCTTTCAAAAAATACCTAATGCCTACACGCCTACCTTCTGCAGGTCTTCAAGAGGCTGAACCAGTAGTTAGAAATTGGTTCTACAGCCAATTTATCATGAAACGATCGACATTTAGCCATCTTGCAACGTCACAGGGTCGTTGGCTTGGTTCTAATCGGTTTATGGTTCTATAACGCAATTCTGCTGATAGATGTAACCTCGAACTCATTTTTACACTTTATCTCGAAACTGTTTAATATACCATCGCTCATTGAATAGCGATTCCTTCCTAAACAGCTGGTTTTAAACTGTATCGTATTTCCATAGATGGCAGCGCCACTATTTTGCATAGTGCTACTCGATGAACCTTGCTTTTATCTGCAACACATCCGAATTTCAAGAATTTAAAACTACTTTTACCCGATATATCACGATTTTTCAATTTGTTGCTTAATTTTTGGAAACCAGTGTGTAAGTTACATACGAAATTTATGTTTATGATTTAAATATTCACCTGGTATAAACCCAAACTAAATAAATTATATACTTAACAGCATAAATACGCTATATGCCTACAGCATTGTCAATCAATTTCTCCAAAATTCTTGAGAACTATGATTTATTTCTGGAAAAATGAGAGTCGAGAAATTACCAACACTAGTCTTGAGGCTGTAGCAAGTATACTATTTCTATATGAACTTAATGCGAAAATAATAGATAGCAGTAAACATTCTAGAGCAGGAGACTTGAAATGGACGTTTGAACAGACATGAAGGTTAACATGACATTTGAAAATATAATGATCAGGATTCCCTCTTCTCCCGCATATGCAGTTGTCGTTGAGAAAGAGAGTCCTTTTGTAAAAGTAAGTCTGGAACGGAACCTTCACAGTCAAGTTCTTATTTAGGAAGAAATTGGTACTCCTCCTACCGTATTTGTTATCACTCGGTAATTATTTGGCAGCCAGATCTTACCAACGTATGCACATGCTCTACATTTTCATCATTTCGACTCAAATATCGAAGACCTTATTTTTCATCGTCTTCGGTCGAGTTGTAGAGACATTTGGTATTTTCTGGAAGCAGAAAAGATGAAAATGAGCAATGCCCTCACCGGAAATCGAGCCACGGACCTCTGGAATACGCGCCCAGCGTGCAGACCACTTGTGCAGGCAAGCCTCCACATTATTCAGCGTCAGTTGTGCTAGCCGCAACCACTCAAGGACAACACGGAAAAGATTGCAACAACCGGTTTCTCGCTCTTCTGCTGCTGGCGTTCGAGGGTGTAGGACAGGCTTCAGTCTGTCCTCTCCCTGGCCGATGCGATGTGCCATTTTCCTGCTTCTCTTTGCTGTTCCTTCGATGCTGTCTGCTATACATGAAAATCCTTTTTAGTGAGATTTTTACATGAAGATTCAAGAAAATAATTACTCCTGTTTCCTGTACATCGTTGCAGAAAATGATTTTTGTTCAGCTTCTTCCTCCTTTCGAGAACTCTTCGAGCGCACGTGTTTGTGAGATCTGAAATTTCCTGATTTAAAGAAGAAAAGGCAGAAATACCATGATTAATTAAATACGCTTAATGACTGCCATCAAAATTTGATTGTTCCTTTTACACCAAGACTTTGTTTCGAGCTGATGGAGAAAGATTGACTTTATTCTGAGTGCAACGTTAATTCTGGTGATGCGCATCACTCGTGCTTGATATTCAAATTTATTCGTCTGTCTGGTTGATAATTTTATTTATATTAATGCTTATTTCAATATCAAAGATGAAGAATAAAATATAATTGATTTGGTAACATACAGTTGTCATACTTTGGGGTAAGTACTTTGATTTCGTATTTCCTTCTAGATCACACATTTTGATCTGCACGTTAGTAAGTATTTATGGGTTATTGTTACACAACGCGATTTACTTAGTACGCAGTTCATCTGATTTATATTTGTTGATCCTTTAATTCAAAAAAAAAAAAAAAAAAAACGCCATGTGACTATTTTTGGTGCTCAAGTAATTCTAATTCACTACACTTAATTCTATTTCATTTTTACATTTAGTACCTCAACACACCATCCATTATAACATCACTACACTACGAAAGCATGCTAAAAAGGTGGGAGAAATATCTTATAGGGTGTGAAATATGCTCCTTTTAAAATTGCTCCACATTTTAAATAAATACATTTAATTACATTATATTACATAGTACCGTTACATAGCAAATACGCGTTACACAGCTCTTCACACTACATTCTCAAAACCCACGCCAACTCTCACTCAAATCGAAACTTTTTTTCACACAGTTGAGGGGTGCTACAACGCCCTCTATGGGAGATCTCAACATACTCCCCACGGATGACCGTTCAGGACATCAAACTACCTCTTACATGAAATTATTACTTAACATTATTCTTAGTAAACATATAATTTCTAGATTAAATAGTTCTTGCTTATAAATGAGTAACTAAGCCTAAACAACATATAAATGTAAACAATGAATTACACAAAATTAATAACATAAATATGTACAATAACATTAAAACTTTAAGAATTCAAATGAATATCGATGAATATCAAGTTAAAGTTCAAAATTTTTCACGATACTTAACTGTCTATTGGTAACACACACAGTTTGTGAATGGGTCTCTTGAATTCACCATCAGCAGTTTTTACTTTTACAACACGAACTCTATAATCATTACCTGGGTAAATTTCGGTGATACGTCCCAGTTTCCATTTTAAGGAAGGTGTGTTATCTTCCTTAATGATTACTAAGTCATTTACTTTAATATTTGCTGAAGCACGATGCCATTTTGTGCGAACTTGCAGTTGAGTCAAATAGTCCTTAGACCATTTCCTCCAGAAGGACTGCGACATTTGCTGAACTAGTTTCCAACGATTGCGAAGTGTTAGTGTCTCGTCGCACACATTTGGTTCCGGAATAGCCTTTAATGATGTTCCTATTAAAAAATGACCCGGTGTAATCACGGAAAAATCATCTGGATCACTTGAAATCGCTACTAATGGTCTTGAGTTCAGACATGCCTCGACTTCTGCTAGATAAGTAGCAAGCTCTTCTCATATGATATTTCATAGCCTTTACCGCGGCTTCCCACAGTCCACCAAAGTGCGGCGCAGAAGGCGGATTGAAATTCCACTTAATTTCTTCCTCTATTAAGTATCTAGCTACCCTTTTTGGTCAGAACAATATGATTTCAGTTGTCTGTTGGCACCTATAAAATTAGTGCCGCAATCACTATACATTTCCTCCGGTCTTCCACGTCTCTAGCAATGAATCGTTTTAGAGCTGCTATGAAGGAATCTGTCGTCATGTCTCCAACTTGTTCTAAATGCACTGCCTTAGTACTAAAACATACGAAAACACAAACGTAGATCTTCACTGTCCGAACACCGCGCCCTTTCTTCGGTTTAACTTGGAAAGGACCCTGAAAAATCCACACCACATTTCGAAAAAGCTCTTGCGGGATTCACTCTGGATGCTGGAAGATCGCCCATTGCTTGATATGACAGCTCACTTCTGTGTCGACAGCATGTTACACATTTACGAATGATCTTTCGAATAGTTGCTCGTGCATTAATAATCCAATATCTCTGCTTGATTTCTGAATGGAGCATTTGTGCTCCTCCGTGAAGATATTTATAGTGATAATATCGTATTATCAGTTCTGTAATATAGTGTGATTTAGGCAGAATGACTGGATATTTTACATTCTGTGCGATGCTAGCATTTCTTAGTCTTCCTCCCACTCTTAGAATACCCTCATCATCTAAGAATGGATTCAACATATTGAGTTTACTGCGGGGACTCACTAGTTTTCTCTTTTTCAAATGATCGATTTCTTCACTAAATTCTTGCATTTGCACAGACTTGATTACCCAAGAATGTGCTACGGCTAGCTCTCCAGTCTGGAGAAAATTTGATTTTGTCCTTGTTATTGATGATCGTTTCACATTGGCAATAAATCTGAGACACCAAGCTATAACTCGTAAAAGTTTTGTCCAAGAAGAATATTTATGAAGCAGTTCATCAATCACAAAATTCTTAATCACAGAAGTATGCACAACGCATCCCTTTCTCTCAGTTTCTACTACTTCCAGTGGGGTCTCCCTCAGTGGATGCTTAGGGAAAAAATTATCTTTTCTTTTTAGCCAATATGGACCACACCACCAACGATCACCTTCCAACAAACATTGAGCTGGCACACCCCTACTAACTAAATCAGCAGAATTTTCCCTTCCACTGCAATGATTCCAAGACCTGGGATCTGATTTTTCCTGCACTTCAACCACTCTATTACCGACAAACTGTTTCCATTGCTTCGCAGAACCCTTTATCCAAAACAAGACAATTAAGGAATCAGTCCAATACAAAAATTTATCAATAAGATCATTGAAAACCTCTCCCAGATACTTTTCTATTCTAGCTCCTATGACTGCTGCCATTAGTTCCAATCGTGGCAACGTCAATTTCTTCAAAGGAGCTACTCTGCTTTTCGACATGACAAACGACACGGAAATGTCACCCTTATCATTTAAGTAACGACAATACGCTATAGCACCATAAGCTATTGGAGACGCATCACAAAATACGTGTATTTCCAATTTTTGAATTTAAGTTATCACAACACACAAATAAATTTCTCGGAACTGAAATATCCTTCAGATATTTAACCTCAGAACACCAGCTAGTCCACTTGATTTTAAGGTCATCTGGCAATTTCTCATCCCAACCAATACCACGTTCCCAAATTTCCTGTAGCAAACACTTAATCCTAACTACAAATGGAGCTGCAAAACCAATTGGATCAAAAATCATTGCTGCAACATGCAACGACATAACGCTTTGTGCTCTTCAAACTCTTTAAACTATCCATTAATCTTGCTATATCTAAAGAAAATTTATCATTTACTGGGTTCCAGTTCAAGCCTAAAACCTTCAACTGACAATCAGAAGTACAAGTATCATCGCTAAGTCCATTCTGCATCCACAATGACCTCAGTTTCTCAGAATTAGTTTTTAATTTTCGCAAAATCATACTTGCATCCTTTAAAATCGACACAGCTTCAGAAGACAGCTTAAATGCCTCTTCAACACTATTTCCCCCAAAATATAAATCATCTACATACAGTGAAGAGTTCAACATTTCAACACATTCGGGTTTATTATTCCTGTACTGCTTTAAGTGCTTTTTTATTGTTGCACTTAAAATAAATGGCGATGACTTACAACCAAACGGCAAACGTGTCATACGCATTATTTGTAGTCTTCATTTGTATTTTCTGATAACCACAAGAATTTTAAAAATTTCCTATCCTCCTCTGAAATTCCAATCATCAAAAATGCTTTCTCTATATCAGCACAAAATGCAATTTTGAATTTCCTATAATTTAAAATAACATCCAGTACATTGGGATTCAAATTCGGCCCAGTCTCTAAATAATCATTTAAAGAGAGATTTAGTTTCGCTTTCGAACTACAATTGAAAACCACGCGAACTTATCGGTTCTCACAACTGCTCTATGTGGCATGAAATATCCCTTCGCATCCCTAGAACATTCTTCAATTATTCCTTTACTTTGTTGATCTTTAATTATGTCCTTGTATTCATTCGCCAACCATTCCTTATTTTCGAAATTGTTTTTTAAGTCCTCAAGTCTTTTTTTTAGCAAGACAAAAGTTATTTTTTAAATCCGTTGGCTTTATTCCCCATAACAAACAAGTTTCGTATCTTCCATCTACAAACCTCAAATTATCTTCAAATCGTTTTATCAAATTCTCATCTGCAATTGATGACTTATTAGAATCTGTAATTCCTAACGATTCTAAATTCCATAGCATCTGCATATCAGTGCCAACGCAAAAATTTGTCGATACTATGTGTTCCCAAATTTTATCCTCAGAATTATTTTGTATGCCCTGGAGTGTAAGGCCAAAAATAGTTTGTATGCAGTTTAGCGTTTTGGTTATTTTTTCTACTAGACCCAAAAGCATAAACTGACAATTTTTCCTTTCGAATGGTTTTAAGGCTAAGGACATCTGCCGAAGATTTTGTTATCCAAGATCTTTCACTCCCGTTATCCATTAACACCCGACATAGTTTAAAGTTTCCTTTCGAACAAGCCAAGACAGTACAAGTTTGCAGTAAAGCACTGCCATTTGAACCCCGCTGAGAGGAGCTGCACTGAGTCACCGCGTTTGAACTCTCCTTCCTTCCTTCGACTTCATCTGATTTATTACTTTTTTCGCATAGCAAGGAGTGGTGAGCTAAGCTGTTGCAGTTCTTGCACGGGTCGAGTTTAGTTTTATAGAATCGCGCTAAATGGAATTTTGAGAAACAGCGAAAACATCTATTATCTCTTCGTAATCTATTTTTCCTTTCCGCGACACTTTCAAATTCGCAAAATTCATGTTCTTTGCTATTACAAAATATGCAATTTCTTTTAACATTTGTAGTATAACTAGCAGTTGATATATTCCTATTAGTATTAAGCTTTTTATTTTCAAATTTACTAGAATTACTTTTATATTCATTGCCAAAATTATGATAATTTTCAGTTTTTCTAGTAAATAAATATGTTCTTTCCCTAGACCGTATCTCTTTGTCTAAAAAGGTAAATAAATCCTTAAAATTCCAATCACTATCTGGATACGCTTTATTGAATTCTAAAACGAGTTCCCTTGGAATTATTTCTAACAACATGGGAATCAATAAAGTGCTGAAAGATTTTGTTTCAACTCCTAACGACTCTAAACTTCTAATTTGAGTATCAGCTTTGTCAAACAACCTTCTCAATCCAGCTAAATCCTTTATACTTCTAATAATAGAAATTTTAAGTAATTCATTCAAATGTGTCTGTATAAGAGTATTCTTATTACCAAATCTACCTTTTAATATGTCCAAAGCAGCATCATAATTTTCTTCTGTTAACGCAAAACCACTTATACAGTTAGATGCCGTACCCCCTAAATATGACCTTAAATAATTAAATTTATCTATCTTTGTAAGATTACTGTTATTATGAATAGCGCTTTCAAACTGGTTATAAAATTCTAACCAAGAAGCAGGATCACCATAATATTTACTGATTATCAATTTAGGAAGTTTAACTGTTTTGGTTTCTCTAAAGGTTTGGTTTTCTAGTGTACCTTGAGCAGTTGCGGGAATAGAAAAGGATACGTTACTAATATTCATTTCATCTTTCATTAATCTATCAATTACATTAGTTATCTTTTGTTTCCAGAGGATAATTTTTTCTGAATATTCCTCTGACACAATAATTTCCTCTTCTATATCATCACAATTACAAAGATTTTTCACTTCATCGTTTAATCGTTTTAAATTAGTTTCCTTATCTATTATTTGGGCTCGAAATTCCTTTAAAGTATCTACCTTATTCGTAACATCTATCTCGCTAGAATCTTCCATAATAAAAGCTTCAACTTTGTTAATTAGTTAACGTAGACCTAACTGCGCTCCACTCCTTTCTCAACTTAGGTAATTCCGACATTTTACAACAATTCAAATTTCAACACAAAACATCAAAACAAAGCCTACCTTCACTTCCTGCAAAATTCCACAAATTCCCAAATAAAGCTTGCAACTAAACCACTAGAATCCACAGCTTCCAAGACCGACTCTGTTCTCATACCTCACTGGTGGCTCCAAAAAAATGTGAAATATGCTCCTTTTAAAATTGCTCCACATTTTAAATAAATACATTTAATTACATTATATTACATAGTACCGTTACATACGCGTTACACAGCTCTTCACACTACTTCTCAAAAACCCACGCCAACTCTCACTCAAATCGAAACCTTTTTTTCACACAGTTGAGGGGTGCTACAACGCCCTCTATAGGAGATCTCAACATAGGGTCTCTTGAAGCTTTAAGCCTCGAAAACACTAATACACTTGCGAATGAATCATAGCATCATCACTATACACAGATTTAATCATATTCTACTTTTCTCAATTTAAAACAAAATTTGATGTGCGTACATTACTCCATTTTTTTTCCTCGATTACAATTACGCACACACACGCTTTACGCAAACGGATCCTGCCATGACGGAACGTATTACAAATGAATGCAATCATTTGATACATGTGGCTGAAAGTCTTGCTACATCATCCACCGGCTGTGCAGAGATAACGCTTTAAAAAAGAATTATGAGTGGTACGAGTGGAAATCTTGGAAGTTTTTTAATGCAGTGTATACGTATCCATAGAAATAATCGATGATAGTTGACTTGCCATTCGATGCAAGCTTAGATGAATTTTATAAATACTTTATTGATAAATGGCTTGAAAATGGTGTGACCATGCTAATATGGAACTGCAATTGAAAACTTTACAAGACAAATAATATTGTAGAAGGATTAGCATCACAGACTAAATCCCTTTTTTATGAAAAATCTCTCCTAAAACTCTGAAACAGATAAAAAGTTTGAAAAATGGAGCTGTTTTAAAGCGATTTTATATTAATCTTTGTGATGTTAATTTAGAAAGAAAACGAAGAAGAAACATATGCTTAAGACCAAAGATTCTAACGTATAATTCAGATGTTTTACTTGGCCCAAAATATAAGGAAACGCTTATTATTCTTATTTTATTTATAAAAATTCGTCTAAACATGTATAAAATTTTTAAAAAATAACTAAAAATAAGCAAGGGATCAACCTCATACGACTTTTAAACATACTAGAGAGATTTTGCGATCATCAAAATTTTCCACGACTGTTGGAATAAATATGTGAATTTCAGTTTTGTTCTTATTACTTTTTAAGATCTCCTACAACTGCTCGATTATTTTTTGTGACAACTTACGTGAAAGATATATTACAAAGTAATCATTTACCAAAATCTAAACTATAATAATCAGACCCCAGTTTCTTAAACCCATTGACTATGAGAAAATGAGTACATTGCTACATAAAATCAGCTTCCTTTCTCTATCTGTATTGATAAACATCTTTTTTTCTTTCATATAAAAACGTGCCACTTAACGAAGGACACATCTGTGAGTAAGATGCGTAAAAGTCAAAACATTTCTTTTAACGAGAAATTTTATTCTTAAATAATGTATTTGATCATATTGCCATAATTAAATTGGTTTATATTACTGTCATCACCAGACCAAAACTACGAATCTTTATACATTGCTAGCCATTAAAATTGCAACACCATGAAGGAAAGCAAATACAAAAAAGATATCTAATGTACGGAAACAGTGTGGCAGGAAAACAAAATGATTAAATTTGTAAGCGGTTTTGGGGTCTACAGGGGTGCGAAATTAGTAAAAACAGCTGCCGTTTTAGCCACCCCTGGCAGCCAAAACGGCTCTTACCCGGTGTTGATAGCATGTGGTTGTGGACTGTTAATTCATAAACGTCAAGTTGAAAAACTTAACCACATTTATTTTCTTTCATACGCAATAATGCCGCTTAAACGGGCCAGAAGGAGTAAGGATTACAATTAACAATTGGCTGCCGCCTT